ATTCTACCGAAATTTGATAAGAAATAAATAAGGAATAGGATGGTGAATTAAAAGTTATATTATTATGTACAGATATATTTCTTCTGTGTATAAATCTTATGTAAAAATAATTTTTATATACATATTCCATATATTAAAATATACAATTTGTATAGTATTCAGGGAAAGGGCTTAGAATATGTTTTAACATATTTATATATTTTTGGCATAACAAAATACCGTGCATGTTGCACGCAGTTCAACGATTCTTAAATGACGAGGACTATTGAACGGTAGTGGTAAATTTATGATACTCCTTAAAACATTTGCCTATACACAAGCCAGGATTATCTTTACAGCCAGGACAAAAATAATTAGTTTCTTTACGTACACCGTTGGCACTACATTGTCGACACCGTTTCCTTTTTACTCTATTAGTTTCACGCCTGGGTAATACTTCAGGTAGATGTTCCAGTTCTGGTAAAATAAGAGATATATTTTCCTGATCAATGTTTAATAAAATTATCGATAATAATTGAGTCTGTTGCACAGTAATAGAACTTCTACCGATAGCCCTTTCCTCCGAATATTATATTTTATAAGATAAAATTATTCAAACCTTTTTTCTGAAATCAAATTCTACCGAAATTTGATAAGAAATAAATAAGGAATAGGATGGTGAATTAAAAGTTATATTATTATGTACAGATATATTTCTTCTGTGTATAAATCTTATGTAAAAATAATTTTTATATACATATTCCATATATTAAAATATACAATTTGTATAGTATTCAGGGAAAGGGCTTAGAATATGTTTTAACATATTTATATATTTTTGGCATAACAAAATACCGTGCATGTTGCACGCAGTTCAACGATTCTTAAATGACGAGGACTATTGAACGGTAGTGGTAAATTTATGATACTCCTTAAAACATTTGCCTATACACAAGCCAGGATTATCTTTACAGCCAGGACAAAAATAATTAGTTTCTTTACGTACACCGTTGGCACTACATTGTCGACACCGTTTCCTTTTTACTCTATTAGTTTCACGCCTGGGTAATACTTCAGGTAGATGTTCCAGTTCTGGTAAAATAAGAGATATATTTTCCTGATCAATGTTTAATAAAATTATTGATAATAATTGAGTCTGTTGCACGGTAATAGAACTTCTACCGATAGCCCTTTCCTCTGAATATTATATTTTATAAGATAAAATTATTCAAACCTTTTTTCAATTTTTTAGGGGGCTTATATCTTAGATTCGCTGTCCCTGTTTTGCTTTTAGCTACCTTTTTCTTAACTTCAGCTTTGCTCTGTTCTTTATTATCTACGTTTGTCGATTCTGCGTTCCCTTGCTCAGAAGTATTTTCAATTTTAATCACACCCTCCTCAGGTGTGATGATTACACGTGTCTCTGTCTTACCTGTTTCATCAATACTGCAACGTTTCAATACAACGTTTAACAGTGAACAAATGATAAATTTCTTTCACGTTTACCTTGCCATTAAACTTGGTTTGCATGAGTTCGATTCATTGTGGAAATTCATTATCCCTCGGAATGCATTCGTGCAATCGACAGTATCAGGATTAGGAATGTCTGCTTTGAGCTGTTCTTCCACAAACAATTTTGTTTCTATGTTCTCTGTATTAAACGATATAAAATTTTAGTGAAACTAAAGAGAGACGTTCCCCTCGATTTAAAGATACACACTTCGTATCAGTTCAGCTCCTTGTGCTTTATACTCTTCGATCTCTTCGTCTTTCTTTTTAATCAAATCGAGGAGAATAGTTCGCTGGCGCATAAGTTCCATTCCCGATATACAAAAAGGTTTCGTCACGATTTCCCAGAAATCTTGTGATGTACTCTTTGTTAAGCTCAAGTTGAACTTCATCGAACCACCTTCTATCGGCACCCTCAATTTTATCAGTTCCACGGATGCTTCGACAATGTAATTTGATATATTTCTCAAAACGTTTAATACAATTTCATTGTAATTAAGTGCTTCAACGTTCAATAGTGGATTCAATTTCTAAAACAGATCCAGTCGAACGTGAGCAGACGAATTCTGATCGCGGCGCGACGATAGACATTTAAATGCGAAATAATTACCCGACATTTATTTAAAACAATTTCGTTTGTCAACGTTTCCGTCCATAATTCGATAAGATCGGTCAAAAATATTTTGATCGTGTCATCGTTACGCGTAACAGATATCAAGTAATCTTTACTATCTATTTTTACACTTTCCCACATTATATCGCGTTTTTACTCAACGAGCCTTGTAATTATTAACAAAATGATTTTGTTTTGAAAAAATACATTCTATATCTATGATCTTCTCTAACCTAGAACCACAGGATAACCTAGTACGATGTAATATAATCAGCATAACGTGGCATCGAACGTTTTGATTGTAAAATGGAAAAAAACGCTTCGACTAGAATTTTTTAAATATTGTTACTGTAGGTTTCCGCGTATTGTACATATACGACACTTTCTACGTTTAAAATAACAAATGCACACATCATAAAGAAAGACTTGGAAGTACTGTATAAATCGATAGGGGACCCCTTTTCTCCTCAATGGACGCAGAGAGCGATTGCAGTCTTTTAAAAATGTCGAAACTGGCTCTACTGTATCTTGATTTTGACGAAACTTTAAAGACATATTTAGGAAAGATTTATTTAAGTGTCTATCAAGTTTCATTAAGATATCTATCCTGCTTTGTGTAAGAATTTTTGAAACTGTATCCTAACGATTCGAAAATATTGCACACTGTCAATTAAAGATTGATAAGAAAAATTTCTTGAATGATAAGTCTGTCTTCGCATTCGGGGCCTGATGCACCTTTATGTTCAAGAAAATAAGTACGTCATTAGGATGACATTGATATTTCAGTGCGCATGGGTCAAGCCTCCCACGGCGCGTCCAACACATGACAGCGGATACATAATTTAAATTCAAGTTTCCCACGAAATGAGTAATCGTACAAATAGAAATTTACTCAGAAAGTAGAATACAACCGAACAACAGTTATGAAATACAATCATAAAAATATTTATTATATAAATAAAAATGGTGGATAAAAAAGATTACACATGTTTCTTGCGCGTATTTTTTTGTTTAACGACCCTTATATTGACCGTGTGAAACTTTGTGTTAGGTAAATTGTTCATTTTCTTAATGTAATCGTCCTGAATCTTTTTGTTCTTCGCGTTCGCCTGTAACTAAAAATCGACGGATGCAGCGAGATTATGATTAAATCCGAGGTGTAACTTTATTAAACGAACCATTTGCTGCGATTCTTTCGAACCGATCGAAAGCTTGTTGTGTTTGCCCTGCTTTTTCGAAATCTCGCTCCAATTAGTAAGTACCACCGAGTTCTGTTTATTCAAAGTAGACTTGCTACTCTTTCGGCTGCTGTATTTAGGACACTTCTCTGAGAACCTCGTCGATTTCGTGTTCGTCAATACGTCCGCCATTCGTCTCTTCCTCATGGTTAAAAAATTATAAAGAGAAGTGTTGCTGGACGTCGAAGTGTTCGTCCCGGCGCTTGTTTGATTTATTATAGTCTGCACGTATTTTTCGTACTTGGACAATATATGCTCGTCGCATAAGAGATCAGTTTTGTCGATCATCTGGTTCCTCGCTAAGACCGTAAACATTTTTATGTCAAAAAGTTTCACTGGTTTCAAATAATGATCAATGAATTTTAATTACAATGCTTGTTACGCAATCTCTTGGTATCATTTCTATTACTCAACAAGTCCTTCTCGCACTGAGTCCCGGCATTGCTGAGAAATCTCAATTTTAAACAGAGATTACCTCCACCATCTACGTACTGAGACGCAGCCGCGTGATTCGTACCTGTCTATAGAATAAAATATTTAAACTGTATTTTATTAAACTCGTACATCGATCTAAATACCAAATCTTTGAGTAACTGCTGCTTCCTCTCGTCTCTTTTCGACAGCTGACCAAGAATGTCTTTTGTATACGCGGTGATTTTGTGCGTGATATTAGATAAATCGTCGTACTCTTCTTTGAGATGTTTCACGAGATTTTTCGACTGTGGAAACAACGATCGGGAAAAATCTTCGGGCCATGGAATGTTTAAAAGCGTGCAGGACACTCCCACGTCTTTCACTAGAACAGCGTCTGAGTTGCTATCGCTTTTGTTACTCCTACATGCGCGAATGTAATTTTGAATAAGGAATCTTATACAAGAGATCTTGACACAAGAACTCGCGGTTCATCGATAGTAACCTGTAGTAGGGGAACAGGCAGCTATCGTGGATCGAGGAATTGCTCATTGTATCGAAAGAACTATTTTTCATTAAAAGCAGGTGGTCGTACGCATCTTTGTTTATACTATCGAACGAGTCATTCCCATGATTGCACGCGGTGAAGCCGTCGTTCCTTTCTGGTATCGCGGCAACAAAATTCTTGGAAGTGTTCTTCTTCATTTGCGGTACGACGTTAACCGACGCATCTCCTGCTTCCGGAGTAGCAATAAGGACACCCATCTCGAAGTGACGATCATTTAATTATCCGTTAAATTTTTTCATTAAGCTCGCGGTATTAATCAGACGTTTTAAACAGGACTGAGGGTTGATAATAATTCAATTACCGAAACTCGAAATCTTCTTTGCCCCATTACTGAAAAACAGAGGCACGTGTACTGCTTGTATTTTGGCCGAGTTTTAGATACGTCCATTACATCACTAAATCTCAAGGGTACCGAGCAATTTTCTCATTTCCACGCCTGGAGAAGGTTACGTTTATATCATTTTAAATGGAAAACAAAAGAGAGCAGAAAATCCGAGAAATCGAATTCTATTTATTGTATATAAAAATGTCAGACGAGTTTCAAATACTATAGATCCATTCGATATCGATTTGATATTTGAACTTGTGATAGGCAATTAGAGAATATCTATTCTGAACCAGGCTTTTAAAACAGGTATCGTGTATTTGCAATACGAAGGCGAGTTAGCCAATAGGATTTTCTCACATTCTGTAGAACTGACAGTGAAACAACGTCGTAGGCAGTGGACAATCTTTATTACAGTTCTCGTTATTCGCAAAAGTTTATCTCTCACATAATTCAATACGGATTTCCTATAAATTGTTCATTTTTATTCTCGTACGTTTTTTCGATTTCTAACTTGTTTTTTGAAAAAGATCTGTGTGAATCGACGAAGGTGAAGGTGCGCCAGTCGCCACGCCAATGGTATACGTTCTTTCAGTTTGATCGGCATGGCTGCCGCACTCGCGAGCAGATCGCGTCGCGACGAACGTAGAGTCAGTCTGCTCGCGGCATCGTCGCGGGCTCCAAAAGCGGCTAGCCGTCGTCGAACGATGCCCGAAATCGGTACCACCGGTACCGAGCAGTGATACGAAACGTCGTCTCCTTTTCCGTAGCGAGGCAGTGAAAAAGGTGATAGAACGAGTCGAACCGATTGACAACAGCGCGGTGATCCATAGGCGAATCGAGGATCGTGATGAGCCCGAACACACGGCGGCGATCCAGGCCGAGGGATTCGAATCGGTTTTCGAAATCGGTGATAGCGGCGCCGCGTCCGATGCATTCGTGATCTACGCTGGGTCGCTCTAAAAACCTGTGCCGGTTAATTATCCGAGAGAAAGTCGACGGGAAGGCCACTTGGCGCGTTCTCCGACCGGTCAACGGGCACCACCTGACTCGTGATTCTAAACGAACTCTCCGCTGTGATCAAACTGTGAAATTCGTCTCGGTAAAACCGGCGACGGATACGTGCGGTGAAACGTTCGCAGTGAAAATCGCGAGTTCCGCTTAGAAATTCGAGGAATGCGTTCCATCTGCAATCGTTTCTTGTTAGAGCTGACGAGTGACTGGCACGAGGGGCATGGAGAACGGAAGAAATCGCCGTAAAAAAGTATAACAGATGCGACCATCGTCAAAGGATTTTACCGTCTCGCTTCTAGGATATTGCCTAGCGTAGTCGGAGGATTGACAATTTCGCGATAGACAAAGTGGACAAATGTAGCGCGATGTTTGTCAGATTGACCATCGTCGTCGCGGCGTTCTGCCTCTGCCACGGAGTCGGTAAGACATCAACTCATCTATCCTCGCGTTTAAATAAGCTTATGTCGATTCCGATTTTGTATCGAATCCTCTCTTCAAAAGAGAAGACGTACGAGAGATTTGAGTCCGGTGTTTAATTCGTGGTTTCCCTGATCCACGCTCTTGTAGCCTGTACTTTCTAATATATCCCGGAGAAAGCGTCAAGATTTCTTCCGATGCACGAACGTACAGGCATTAAATTGAAACAAACAATCAGTCTATGCTGATTCATCTTACACCGTTTTACTAAAATAACGTTTGATATCCGTCAATTTTAAATAAATATTTGGCATGGCTCTTTTTTATTCAGGACGGGTTTAATAAGATTGAATCATGGTTTACGAGACGATGCCAGGTGCGTTGGCTGTAAATTCGTTACAGCTTTCGACTTACAAAGGCTGTTCCTGAAACGGCATCTGTGCCATTAAATTTCTTATGCCAAAGAAAGCTACGACCAGATCTCCCCCTTTTATACGACAAATTTATAATATTGCATTAGAGATATTAAACGTTTCTTTGAACAAGCATCGAGGCTAATCAATTTGGCAATCGCCGCATTATCTCGATATAACAAATAGTATCCTTGCAATTTTCCACACGTGTTGCACCTACACGCGACATTCCAATTGCGTTGCATTAACTCGAATCGATTCCGCAATTGTTGCGAGCGATTCCTTTCTCTACGGCAAATCGCGGAGGAAAAATGGTAGAACCTGTTCGCAAAAATCGTAACCGCGTTGTTGGATAAAATAGAAAGGAGATCGGGGCAAATTAATTTCGATGCAGAATCCAATTGTTGGATTTGCAAATTCGAATCCGGTTCTACCGATGGGTGAAAGTTGCCTAGAGTAATTATTCACAGTCTCATCATTCTAATTAATTAAAAATGCGTCTCATCTGTTTTCACTTCGGTCGAACGTTCGCGTCTCTGGTATTTTGCAATAAAAAGCTAGAATTAACAAACACGTGTCGTTATATCGAAACAGTATAATTGTTTAAAAACTCGAACAAAGGACGAAAGAAAATATTCTTCTATCTCGTTCGTGGGACCACAGGAAACTTGCGTGTGCACACAAAAAGGAAACAACCGATAACTGATAACAGCGACACGATTATTGTACAGAGGATGCACGATTCCGTAGAACGCGAGGAGATCCAGCGGATAAACGCGCGGCAGACCGAAAGGAGCTTACACGTTCCATAGCCGTGTTAATAGATAAACCCATAAACCAATGTAGCCGCGTGTAATACATGCCTCCGTGATAACGGATAATTTTCAAAGGCGATTGGACTGCGAACGGTGCTTCTCGGTAGTATTATATACAAAAAAAAAAAAGAAAGGAAATGAAAAATTCGTATCGCATTAGCATCACCGGCGTGCGCTTTCTCATCGCTCGCTTCGCACGCTCGCCCACATTGTTCCCTTCAATTACGCCTGCTTCCTGTTTAGGCGATTCTCCTTTGCCTCCGTCTCGAAGAAAAATTGCTCGAACGAAACGTTCTTTTGAGAAATGAAAATAGTGGAAAGTATTCTCTGATAAAAATCTCTTGTGAACTGAATTTTCCATGCGACGACGCACGCTTTCTGGGAAAATTTCAACCGTTCACCCAGGGTCTCCATCGTGTCTGTACCGTCGAACGAGGAACGCGTGCTCGTTTGTTAACGAAGAAGAATGTACGACGATAAAACGTACGAATGTACGTACGACGTTAATCGATAATCGTGGAATGTGTTCCGGGAACGACTTTTCCGCGCTTTTTCCACCGCAATCGTCGGGTCACGTTGGGCAACGGTGTTTCTTTTTAGAGGTGGCACGAGCGTACCGCTTCTTCTACTCGCGGCTCAGAAGCAGCAGGAATCCGAGCGGAAAAATATCGGAGCTGGTGACCGCGCGACAAAATAAAACACGGCGTACGGCTACTCGGCCACCAGACGAATTAACGTTTAAAACAGAGAGCCGGCCGCCATAATCGGGTCGCCAGACACCAAACAAGAACTCGTATCCAACCTTCACCGATAATCGCTCGACTAAACGAGGCTTCGAACGAGCTCCGATAAATTTATATACTCGGTCGCGAAAACATTCAATTAACTTTTTCATAGTTAAATAATTACGTAATAAGATAAAAGAAAACGTGTTATCTCGTGACACAGATCTCATGGCAAACAGTTTTCATTGGATTAGAATTTTCGATTACATTTCAATTTATTAAGAGACGAAATTCTTAAATGCTTCGAACATTCTTATTGATTTAATCAATGTAAGGCTTTCGTCTGTGTGAAAATCGTAATCGTGTCTGTTTACGCGGAAGGAAAATGTGTTATAAGGCACAGGCGTATAAAGGTAACAGGTATTCACCTGGTGCGGTACGTTCTTATGCGAGCATTCAAGTCTGTGAGAAAGACACACGGCGTGGCGCAGCGGCGATACAGGGAACAGTCTCTTAACAGCGCTTTCATTGAGATTCCTCTATCGCCTAATTGACTTCTCCGCCGCGCGATAAATCTGATGCATTTAATTATTTATCAAACGTAAAATACCACCGGCGCACATAATGCGAATAAATCAAATAGTTAACTGCGTGACTGATGGGCAAAAATGTTATGAGGCAGTAATTGCAACGTGAACGGTGGTCGTTCAGGGGAGACGTTGAATGATTAACATTTTTAATTACGGTTTAACGACCTTTCGGAATACACGTGAGTAAATGTTTGCACAGTATAAGAAAGAACAGTAAGTTTACTCTTTCAAAAAGTGTACGAAATCTGAAGACTCCTTGGCAAAAGTTGGGAAAAATTAAAAAATGTTTTTTCTGAAAATTTCGAAAAATGCTTGAAATAAAAGTTGTAGGTATTGACGTCAAGAAAGATTCTATGCATTTTTCTTTTAACTCCAATATTTAACGAGTTAAATGCAATTAATTGGCATTTTATTGGCATTGACGAAATCCGACCTTCCCACCGTCGAAACAGCAAACTTTTAGCAAAAAAATTTTGTTTTTTGCAAATAACTCCCGTTGGACTTACGGGAAAATTGGTCCTATCCAAAAAAGATATATAATTTTGTTTCAAGGTAATCGATTAATTAATTCGTCCATCGTCAAATATTTCTTAACTATTTGGAATTAGAAGCTGTTGATCTTTCTTATACTGTGGCGAGGTTGTTACACGTAAAGATTTTAATATTAATTAAGAAGGTATGAGAAAGAGCGATACGATTCAGCGATTGGAGCCTTGAAATCTTTTCATCAGACTGCCTTGAGCCGATCTGGCCGCAATTATATGCGACTTGTAACGTTATATTCAGCACGAAGTACATTGTCTCGCGGTTTTATCCAGATTAAAATTTCACAAACATTTTTCTCAACACGGATTTCTAATAGATCTGTCGTTACAAGAAGTGATTCTCGAACAGGGATGATTTCTCTTTCGACCTAACTGATTTTCTCTGTTTGCAAATAACGTTCAAAGTGCAGGAGAATACTCTCGTTCGCTCGAACGATCACGCGATACGGAAAAAGCGGCCTAAACGAATTTTTCGTGCGTGTCGCCACGCATGAAAGTGAAGCGTCATGCTAAGGAATATTTAAGGACCGACGATGACCTCACCGAAGTGAAAGTTCTCCGGTTCGGTTCCCCGTGGTCGTTAAACGAGCAAAAGGTAAAAAACGCACGCGGCAAGAGAAGAGGCCCACCGCGGCCTCTTTCGAATCCCTACGAGCCCGTGTATCCGCTTCCGGAAGCCGAGGTGTTCGCGTCACGGCCTTGGTCGGTCCCCAGAAATCCTTTCGAAACGACCGAAAGCCTTTAATTAATCTCTTCGGACGAAGAGCCTGAGCAGGCGTTATGGCACTTGTCTCCGTTCGATTCGAGCCAAGGGAACGACTTTCTCCCTGGGATCTATTTTATGACGTAAACACGGTTTTCTGCTCGAGCACAGGTGACAAATTATGTAAAATTCTCCGGCACGGTATGAAAGTAGGATATCGTCGCAGTCTCGTTTACGAGTATGCTCGATTTCAGTTATTTGAATTTGCACGGGGAAATGTCTCGCGGTGAAATTTCGCAGTGATATCCGATGTGTATTTTTGTAGCAGAGTGGGGGAGATGGAAATTGCACGGTTCACTTTCAGATCCTGTTGCGTCTCGCGTTACTTATTTACCGATCCGGCCATTCTCCATGAGTCACTCGTTAAAAACTGCACCTGTAATCGCGATGCAACAGATACCACGCTTAATCGCATTTCGCAATCGACGAATTAGAAACCGTCTCCTGTTCCAAGGAAATCCCCGAGTCGTCGATATGAAAAGTAAAAACGGACGGAACGAGACGAGAGTCATAACTGTTTCGGTCGAATCGTTGAAATTATGAATTGGAAAGTAACGTATAATAAAAAATCGAAACGTCGAACGATCGAAAGTGTGCCAGGAAACGAAACAGCCTTTATTACTGCTTCCTAAATTCGGAGTATCCCGCCCGGTGTAATTGCTCGGTTTCAGGAAACGTTGGTTTCTTAACTCGCAATTAAAATAAGTGGGACGGACCGATTGACAGTCTCGCTAATGGTCCCGATTCGTACGCGACACCTGGCTCAAGTCACCGATTATAAAAAGCATTGGCAACTGCGTTTAATACTTAATCGTCCATTAACAAGTTTCAAGGATTCGTTTATAACACATGTATGCTAAATATGAATTAATCAATGAATAAACGAAACTGAAAATTACTCGAAGTACTTCGAAAGATGAAATTGATGAGGCCTGATTAAAAAGTGTTCCGATCCGAGAAATCTATACTTTTCGTAATCGGTGTCTTGCATTTCCGACGGTGAAAAAGGCACGATTCCGACCACACCGTCCTGCATGCAGACAGTGCCAGTCTGGTCGTTTGGTCGCACTTTCATCGTCCCACTTTCTCCGTCTTGGTTCGGGCCGATCGTTGTTCGTTGACCACATGCCGTCAATCCAGTCAACCTTTATGCCCGTTCAGGTTTTCCCCATTATTTTTTCCTCGCGAAAACAAAAAAGAGACTGTAATCTAAACGATCTTAATGATTTAGAAAAACGTACAGGCTCTCTCTAATTCAGGATTTTTTTGCAACTTATTCGGAAAAATGAACGGCATTCCGCTTGCCCGTTATTTCAATTATTCGTCGGATCTATAATACTGAGAATTCCATTAAAACAGGGATTTGGCTGTACGGTTTATTGTTCAAGCCACTATTATCGCAGGGTTTCATTGTTCATTGTGTAAAATTGGCTCGACGCTAATTCATCGTCGTGATCATAGATAATTAAATTTTGACAAAATAAAATATTTAGGATATCAATTAAAAAAATGGATCTCATTTATTATTTAAATATTGCAATATGCATTCGACTGGTTTAATACTCATTGCCAAATTCCTTACTTATCGAAATTTGAAAAAAAGACCTCTGACCTTTCGAGTTATTTATGAAAGAATTTTGTCAATAGAACCAGTTCCGAGACACCTGTTTGACATTTCGGAACAGGATTCATTCCTAAAATTACTTCAAATGAATTCCGCAGGAAAGAGCGAGACGGTGCAACAGGTGGTCCTTCACGGCCGATAAATTCGCTGTACTGGACAAATAAGTACGAAGCAGGCCTACGTTATTGCATTACAATAGCGACACCGGTGCATAGGCGCTTCTTTATTTCGAGCATCGCGTGGCAGCGTTCTAGCGGTATTGAAGTCACTGCACCGTGAGAATACAGTTACGCGGTATTCCCGTGAATAATAGTCACCATTAGCGCGCGCCAGCCGACGCAACGTAATGTTATTAGACAGAGAATCAATAAAGTCTACCGAAGATCGTTTGAAGACGACAGCTAAATTACATCTTTACTCGCATAAATCACATTTGTTTGTCATTCGTCATTCGTCCCGAAAATTCGTAAAGTTTCATTTCACAGAAAAATGAAACGCGTCGAGGTGTTGTAATTTACAACGTTTACACGTCGATCAGCATAAATTTAAATAATATATTTCTTTGGTACTGATCAGTCGGCTTAATTACAAGGCCAGCGAGCCTCGAACAAACACATGTACCGTCTTTTTCCCCGATTGTCTAACGGCATGCAAACGAAGAAAGTTGTCAGAGGACGGCGACCATAAATTTTAATCATCCCGTGCCTCGAGTTACCCGCGAATTTGCCAGTCACGCGCAACGTGTACCATCCTCGAGATTCTAATCGACGTCCGGAGAGTAATCGGACTCGCGTTACTCTAATTAGACGGTTACCACTTCCCGATGGTTCGTTAAAACAAACGCGTCAACTCGTTATTATGCAAATAAAATTAAACGTGGACGAGTGGATCTCGAACCTGCGAATTGCATTTATTTCCCGGGGGATGTAATCTCGTATACTCGTTGATGGCAACGGCGTTAATGTTCTTTCCATGTTTCTTTTACTGAGTGATTATTATAGTCTCCGGTTTTTGATAAGCTCAGGGGAATCGATCATTCCATTTTAGACTCGAAGAAATCGGTCACCAATGATAACAAGAACTTTCTTTCGCACGAAATCTCGGAATAAACGCTCGGCCTTTTATAACGGCTAATGGCCTGCTGCAACATTAGTGAATAATTTCTGCGATCGACAGTTTGTTACCGAGCTAACGGAACCGCGTTTCATTTAGTTTGCTTCGATGGAAATAAACCCAAGACGTAAAATATTTTCAGGACTTCGTTGGTTGAATCTCACATTTTCTATGACGATGTTCGAACATATGCTACTTCATTCAAGTGCAGTTCGCAATTATAAATTTAAATTCTCACGGGACGAAAAAGGAAAATCAGAGACAGGATTGTTTTAAGGCGAATACACTTTCCATCTCGATCCTGTCCGTTTATTTAACAACAGCGTGATATCGCAGCAGTTAAGCGTTCGTTGGATCATAAATAAATTACGCTGCTCGTAACTTTCTATTCCGGCGTAACACGCGGGTTACTCTGTCCCCCGACGACGACATAACACTTTCGAGACCGATTAACGGAGCGTCCTTTGATTTTTAATAAACCGGAAATGATTCGTACTTACATAAATAGAAACGGTCGAGCTATCAATATAGGTATATACTAAGTTTCAGTCTTTCTAGTGTTAAAATGATCAATGTATTAATAATAAATTCATGGGTCGTTAGAAAAATTCCTGTGACTCGGTGCGTATAATTATTTCAAGGAATCCTCAGTTCGGGAAATAATAATTGAGCAACGAATAAGTAGGTGGGCACGTTTAAGTCAAGCACGGTGTAAGCACGAGTAAAACAAAGTGAAGGGGAACGATCTGAAAAAAAAAAAGAAAAGGCGAAAAAAAACGCAGGCAAAACGTGAGCAGCTTTTCAACGCGGAGAACAGTGACTTTTTACAAACGGTACATTCATTCCAAAGGAAAAATGTTGGCGAGGCCGATTCTCCTTAACGAACAAAACTGACGTTGAAGAGTCGTTCACGATATAACGACGTGAATCACTCAATTACAAATTACCAACTGTTATTATAATAAAATTATTGCTCATGTAGACAGATAAAACGTGTGAGTGTGTGCAATAAAAAGTGGAAGTGTATAAGAAGAAATTATAAGTGTATGTATGATAATAAATTATATGTAGATTCTATTTGGTCGTTGATTTTTGAGAAAGGATATGCGTTCGCATAAATGAGTCGGGGGGGAAAAAAGGAAGATCGGAAATCCCGAGGCCGCAGTTTCTGGTCGCGGCAGAATGAAAAGGTTACACTCTACTTGACGATATGAACTCGAAATCCAGGAAGGAATGCATATCAAGGCCGATCTCTCGAGCCACCCGCGGCTCTCTCTCATTATCGTCCAGTAAATCCGAAGTTAATTAGAGCTCAAGCGGAAAGCCATTGCGTTCTATACGAACTAATCGAGTTCGAACAAGATACACACGCATCTATTTATAATACGATTTTGCAAGCTTCGACGAATCTATGCTGCAATTCCGAGATTTATCAAATTCTACATTTTTCACAAATTGTATGAATAGATCAATCTTTTAAATTTTTTACACGAAGGGTTTTGCGATAGGATCGTGGAAAAGAGAAAGTGACACGATCTGGAAAATTAAGAGGTTTATCTGTGAAATGAATTTGTGATAATGTCCGTGATTTCGCGATGCACAGAAACGCGAATTGCTGGGCAGGTGCGTGTTATGAAACGGAAAGGCTTCAAGGACATGCAGCTTGTTATTCGATTTACCTTTCTTCTCTATCATTTTCTCCTACTTTCAATACTCCGGCAGCTATATGATCTATCTCAAATACATATCGGTAGACTGCTGCGTTCATAGAAAAGTTGGACACGCAGACGTGAACGTGAAAACCGGGGAACGTATAATCCCAAACATTTTTTGCATAAAAACCTGCGACTCACATATCAGATTTTTAACTTAAAATTATTCGAAATATTTAACATCGTATTTATCGACATACTGTTTTCAACGATTAATTCGTTACATCGCTCAGCTTTGGCATCTCTCAGCCAGTTATTAATTTGCATTGTAGGAAGTCAATTCAGCGACAACACGCCACCGGTGATGTGGATAGACCGAAATTTGGTGCTCCTGGATTCGGAGCCGGTGGGGAGCGTGGTGACTAGGGCCCGGGCCGAGGACAATGAGCAGGATCAGCTCACCTATGGCCTGGAACAGCTCGGGCACAACTACAACGGAAACGACAGTCCACAGCCGCCGCTCCCATTCTTCATCGACAATAGCACCGGCGTCATCTACATTAATGAAACGCTCAAAGGCAGAGTGAGTGCCGCCTTTATTCCTACTGTCTTAATTATTTCCACGTTCAAACAACCCCGCGCCGACCCTTCGTACACCCAAGTACCTTTTCTCTATTAATAAAATTCTTCTTTCCCCTCAATTCTTCTTTCATTTCAAAAAATTGAGTGTTGATTAAAATATCGAGATATAACTGAGAATTCTAGACTGCTGACAAATAATAAGATCTTCGAACTTCGTAAAGCGAACGAGACGTCGAGTTCTTATTCAATAGACGAGTTCTAACGACGGGGGCAAAGCAGCCACGTATACGGCGATTTTTTCCTCCTGAAGCGATAAGAACGTAACACGAGACGCGTATATGGTCGACGTTCAGAGGATTGAAACGACGTTTCTTGCCTGTTCGTTCCAGGGAGGGCAGAACCTGTTCCTTTACGTGACCGTCTCCGACGGTCAGCTCACGACAAAGACCGAGGCCTTCATCACTATCAAGAACTCTTCAAGCCCCAATGGAGGACACATCAGGTAGGTTGAGGACAAAATTGGCCGACCGGTGTCCTATCCATTTACAGAACATGATATAACAGCTTCCACGGAGTTTACGATTATTATTCCTCGGATCTTTTCCTAGTCACTGTTATTTCGAAACCGACTCGCGACGCTTTCTTTCCCGATGATTCCGCGAAGGAGTTTCAGGAAGGTGTTTGAGCTCGCGGTCAGAGGAGAGCCCGATGTAACTCGTTTCTTTGTAACCCGACGTCCATCTCCGTTTTACGATGCGGCGCGACGTTTCCTCTTGCAGTCGCTTGAAATATTATCCATTACGTGCTTGGAATTTCAATTCAGCTTCAGAATAAAAATGATTAACAATGACAATGACTTCGTTAAGTGTCTCGAGTCAAGGTTCGAAATCGTCTTCGTCATGAATCTACTGATCATCGATTATCCTATTACCGCGACTGAAATTCGCAATCACTATCCGAATGGCGGGGCGCGATCATTTTTTAATGGAAGCTATCGCGAACTTGCGGGACCTACACTCGCGGCTCGTAGAAAGTTTCATCGATAAATCACGAGGAACGGTGCGCGACCTTTTAAAGGGGGGAATCTCAGTGGCCCGTTCCATTATTCATGCTCCAGTTCGTTGGCCAATACCTCGAACTCGACGTTGATTTTTCCCCGACAGGAGCCCGTTTCCGGGTCAACTCGGTAACGGCGGTAGACTGCGACCACCATTGCTGACCCTGCCCAACCTGAGCTACCCCAGACCCCATAAATCGGTGATGACGCCCGGCGTGCAAAAAACGACCAAGTTACAGCCCGAGGACGCGAAACAGGCGGGCGAGGGTGACCCCGCGGCGTCTGGGACCACCGGTGCTCCGGCCCAGCAGCCCGTCGAGGAGAACGAGGTCGAGGGGCCACCGCTCAGCTCGAAAATCGCACCTGCCGAGGCACCGCCTTCTCAAGATATAGCGATCACCGTCGTACCCGTCACGGCCGTCTGTGTTCTCTTGGTGGGCCTCGGCATGGGCGCATGGTCCCTTAGAAACAGATTTTGCGGTAACAGGAAGACCAAGGAAGACACGGTAAAATACTTCGATTCAAAATCTGTCGTTTCTATATTTAATTCTATTCAAAAACAGTGATCATTTCTTCTTTTTATACATCTTACAGAAAGAACAAGCGTCGGTCAGTGTGTCGAATATATCGGACGACCCGTCGCTGGTTCTGAAGAGATGGCGAGGCCCGAAGGCGCACAACAATCGTTACGAGCCGTGGGAGAAGGAAAATCAAGCCACGCAAAATAAGCAAGAAGACAAATGGGAATTTCCCAGACACCGGTTGAAGGTTCGTAATCAGGATTCGATCAATTATCAAAATAAAACATCGAATTTTATATGTACGAATTAGGTTTTCAACATTCTCGGGGAGGGTTGCTTCGGTCAAGTGTGGAAATGCGAGGCGTTGGATATCGATGGGAAATCCGGGGCGACCATCGTAGCCGTGAAGACGTTGAAAGAAAACGCGACCGAAAGAGAGCGGCTGGATCTAGCGCAAGAGTTGCGGGTCATGAAAAATTTGGACCCTCACCCGAACGTGGTCCGCTTGTTAGGTTGCTGCACCGAACGCGAACCGATGTTCGTGATCCTAGAATACGTGAGCGGCGGTAAGCTGCAAAGCTTCCTCAGGGCTTCCCGGGAAGAGAGGAATCACGGGGGTCCGGGACTTACGTCCAGGGATTTAACCGGATTCGTTTATCAGGTATGAGAATCTGTTAAATAATACATTTCGGAAGTCATACAACGTGTTTGCGCATTGTTTCAAATTATTAATAGACTGCAGATTTCGCATACTGAGTATTCTATAATAAGATGCAGCTCGTTCGTTTGAACTTTGTACTAAATTCGACTAACCGAAAGAACTTTCATTTGCACATATAATAGATCGCCAAAGGTATGGAGTACCTGGCTTCCAAAGGGATTATCCACAGGGATCTAGCCGCGAGGAACATATTGATCGACGAGAATCGCGCGTGCAAAGTCGCAGACTTCGGATTCGCTAGAGACGTGGCCGCTAATCAAATATATGAAAGGAAGTCTGAAGGCCGTCTACCGATCAGATGGATGGCCCCGGAGAGCTTGTACGATAACATATTCTCCGTGAAATCGGATATTTGGAGTTTCGGCGTATTGATATGGGAAATCGTTACCCTGGGGTCTACGCCTTATCCCGGACTAGCAGCAGCCGAGGTACCATATAAATATTTTTCGATCAATTCGATGTTGGATTAACGAGAGAAATATGTAAGAAGATTTTTAGGGATATACGTGAGATTGAATTGATACTTTTAACAGGTGATGAGGAGGATCAAGGAAGGCTACAGGCTGGACAGGCCAGAGCATTGCAAGAGGGAGCTATATAATATAATGTATTATTGCTGGGACAAAGATCCAGCGTGTAGGCCTTCCTTCAGTGAACTTGTTGGATTGACAGAAGGCCTGCTGCTGGATGAGACCGATTATATCGAATTGGACAGGTTCCCAGATCATTCGTATTACAACGTGCTCAATCTCAGTGGAGAAAAGTTGTAAATGTAACGTCTAAACTATATTTAAAACTCGACCGAGCCCGGGCAGCGGATACGATAAGATAATTGAAACTCCGCCCGTAGTAAAGCATACAAAGTCTATTGCAATATTTAAATTATAAAGATATTCCTATCTAAAACATTAATATTGACATTGTACGTGATTTACTTCGCAACGTACACGTCGCTCAAAAATTAGTTTCATATTCGACGTTATCATTAAATGTTTTTAATCTAATAGTATTGCATAAGCACGCTGCATATTTATAATTCAATTTCAAGCATACGTTCGTGATTTAAACCTCCGATAAGTGTGCCTTCTGATATTGTATACAGGGTGGACCGGATAGGGGGTGATACTACGTTAAAAAAGAAGAAAATATTTTTTCAAACAGAGCTCCGTTTTCGTGGAAATTGACTTCAAAGCTTGTAAACGATTTACGGCAGTGGGATTATTATTGCAAGCTGCCGAAGCAAGTAACATATCAATATACTCTCGATTGGAATATCTTACCATAGCTTAGTGATAAGTTAATCAGGCTAAAGTCAATGAAAAGAAGCGAACTATTACGTAGTTTGATAAACTATGACTCTTATCGTAAACCGAACTGTATGCACACTTTTCTATCCTTATCAATATTTATGAATACTAATCTAAATACAGACAATTAGAGCAGTAGAATATGCGATAAGCAAATTATATTAATTAGTTTACAAGTAAAACAGACTTTGAAGTGGATTTTCACAAAAACGGAGCTCCCGTTTAAAAAATGTTATACCAAAATATTTTCTTCTTTTTTAACATAGAATCACTCTCTGCCTGTATTACGATTTCCGGTCCACCCTGTATATTAATTAAGCGACGAAACTTCTATTACGTTTCACATCTTGAACGGGTCGCGAGTATAATGAGAAAGAATGAGCGTCGTGAACTAGTCAAGAGTTCAAATCGAATTATTCTCCGAGAAATTCCTTAATTTAAAAAAAAAAACCATAAAAATAGACGCTATATATAATTCAATGTTATTAAATGTATGAATTAAGAAACGATTCCCGCGGACAGCGAAACTTTTCCATATGAACACGAACGCGAATTGTACATATGTATCGATTAAGACTTTAAATAAGTTATTGTGTAACTACTTTTTGTAAGAATAAAAAACACATCCTACAAGTAACGAACTTTTGAACGAACCTGTAAATGATATCAAGCTGCGCATCGGACAAGACAGCGAATGACGCACGTATAAAAATACGTGGTCGGAGGCTCGGCGGCGGCTGTCACGCAGAAGCACGCGTTGTGGTTCGTCGTTTGCTGTGTATAGATAGATGATTAGTTAATTTTTCTTACACGTTAGTTAAACGTTCGACGGAGTAACAGGCGACGGTGATCAATAGTCTCTATCGCGAATGAGACAACACGTTATGGAGCAGAATAAGAACATACCGTATTCGGAGACCGGTGAAAAGGAGGAAGACGAGGTTAGTTTTATAGGTTATGTCGCGTCGAGAGAGGTTAAGAAACCTGTCAAAGTGACAATCAATCGCGCGTTCCTACGTACACGCGTACGTCATGTTTGTTTTTTTAAAAAGAAATCACCTCTCTGCTCGTAGATACTGTTGGAACCGTTTAGTTATATACTACAGGTGCCTGGAAAACAGATCAGGGCCAAGCTAGCCCAGGCTTTCAATTACTGGTTAAAAATACCGAACACTAAACTACACTCTGTCGGCAATATTATACAAATGCTACACACTTCCAGCCTCTTGTGAGTTCTCGTTATAGATTCGAATCGCTCTCGAGGTCTCAGGTACTTTAATCTCGTGCGGTTCGCGCGATACTTGCAGAATCGATGATATTCAAGATAATTCAGTTCTGAGACGAGGAATCCCTGTAGCTCATAATATTTACGGTACAGCGAGCACGATCAACTCTGCGAATTACGTGATGTTTATCGCTCTGGAAAGGATACTCGCCTTGGATCAGCCAGAGGTGAACATAGCTGCATGAAACTCGTTTCTTCTTCCCCCTGTATATTCCTTCTTCACTTAATACATTTCTAATTGATGCTAAGGCTACGCAAGTGTACGTAGAACAGTTGTTAGAGCTTCACAGAGGTCAGGGAATGGAGATTTATTGGAGGGACAATTATATTTGTCCATCCGAAACGGCGTACAGACAGATGACGATTAGAAGTAAGTTTCCTGAGATGATCGTTCAGTGGCTTTAGATTTCAGTGACACATCTCCCGATTGTTCTACAGAAACAGGCGGACTGTTCAATTTAGCCGTCAGGCTGATGCAATTGTTTTCTGAATGCAAGGAAGACTTCACACCCTTAGCCGGCATCTTAGGATTGTATTTTCAAATTCGCGACGACTTTTGTAATTTATGTCTCCAAGAGGTAAGTTCTACGATTTATTCAACTGGCAGCGACGTCACTTGAACCGTTTCCACAGTACGCAGAAAATAAAAGTTACTGCGAGGATTTGTCTGAAGGGAAATTCAGCTTCCCTATTATACACGCTATACAAAGCCATCCCGAGGACAGACAGATAATGAGTATCCTTTGCCTCGTTATTTAAATCTCGTTGAAAACGTTCGACGTTGTTTTTTCTTAATCAGCATTGTTCACAAAGATATTCTCAGGCAGCGCACTAAAGATATCGAAGTGAAACGATATTGCGTAAACTTGTTAGAAAAGTTCGGCTCGTTTGCTTACACGAGAGCCACGCTCGAAGAACTGGATAAGAAAGCTAGGGACGAGGTCCAACGATTAGGAGGGAATCCATTGTTGCTCCAAGTTCTGGACGACCTGATGAGCTGGAAGCATCAGGATGCTCATCTACCGTGTAGAAAAGGTGCTGTTTAAATTTTCTTTATATCCCTTTGAACTCGTATGTATATACAGGATACTACGCGGAATATAGAAATTGTACTTTCCAAATAGTTTCGATGAACTATCCGCCTAGTTTCTATCCCTCAGTATCTATTCCGACGTTTTACGAAAGCCATAGGAAAACTTATTGAATTTCACAGAAAATGCATTTTTAATTCTATTAAAGATTCGTGATACTTCGAACTGATAAGAAAACTTGTTATGTAACTTTGAATGCATGTTATTTACATTAGAATTGTTATCAGTCGTTATATTTGTATATCTACATTCATTTGTAACATCTAGCTTTTGTAGCTGCTATCTTTCCGTTCATGATAAAGCATTGCCACGTGTAAAAATTGAAAAAACGTGAAGAAGCATTTTTTAGTTGTTAATTGCGAAGTTATTATACGAAACAAATTATTCAGAATCGGAAAGTAGCTTTTGAATATGTACGTATTATTAACTCTTGAAAACTAATCTCGTCGTGTGATTTAGAACGTTTTTCAGGAATGGTACTAACGTAGACTGTTAATCTAGATGAACAGGAAGCTTAGTAACTTTGGAAGGATTCTTAGTTGATTTTTTCATATATATTTTGTAACAAATAATATCGATTTTGATCGTGTAACGTCGATAGAATAAGTATATCTCGATGATTACAAACGTATCTCAGAAAGTTAATCGAAGCAATTATAAATCAGTTTCTCTAGACGGCCTTCATTCCTATGATGGATTGCTTTTTTCATTTTCTTACCTCTAGAATAATAGAAAACGGATAGCTTCGTTTCAGAACGAAATACTAAGAAAAAGAATCGCGGGAAATCGTTCAGCGATTTTACGAAATTTGACCGACAAAACTGCCATACGCGTACAATAATTTAATTAGTACATTGTATAATGGTATTACTTACAGTTAGCGTCGTGACTTTACTACTTACGTATTTGTACATCGTGCGATCATACGCTGTACGAATTGATAATGTGATATAACGTGTGTATTACTACATTATTATGTAAAACCGTTTGTAATAAATAAATATACCTTCATTGAATCAAAGTAACCAATCTTCGATTTGTTTTTTACCTCTCACATTCTCCTCATCCATGCGCGTATTCATTTTACTTTACAAGGCATTTTAGTAAATTTGCCATTATATATAAATACCATTCAAATTTATTCGACGTTTAAAAATTCTAATCCCGTACTTAGTACAATCTCTTGTTATCAACGAACGAAGTAACGGTGAGAAAACTCATAAATAAATAAATTTCACTTCTCTATAAACTACTTAGCAAAAATAAGTTGTTTTCATTTAGTCAATAATGAAAACTTTTAATACAAATAATTACGATATTACGTGTTTATTCCGAAGAATTGCATAGCTATTTAAATATAAACACTTACTCTACCTTCTATAAGCTGTTATCATTAGACTGCGGATTTTAATTTGATCAAACAAATGTTCGTCCAAGACATATTTTTTAAATTGATACCACAAATATTTTATTTCGCACAAAGATCCGCAGTCTAGTTATAGTTTCCACAATTACGTTTTCATTTATAAATAATATACTATTCGTAATAAAAGTTAGATCCCCTAATTATTAAATTGCAATCGATCAGTTTGAAAACGTAATCGAAACATTCATTTGTAACTTCTCGGAAACAGCATTCTTTCAATCAACATCCGGTTTACGTATACTTATCGAAAGGAACTCTAAACGATCTAAGGCCGATTCACAGAAACATCCCCTTTCTCTAATCTAACACCTACGCGACAATCCAAGTAGCATACATCGATTCGTAGAAAATTTCAGCTACACAAACACGGTCTTTAAGAGTTTAACACGTTTCGCTGCACTCGAGCAACCAACAACATTCATTTCTCGTTCTATAACTGCACTAATTTTCGTAAAACAAATCTTAATGGAAGAAACACTTGTAGAATCTTGGAAACATTTAAAATTGCAGCGAACGAATTAAACTCGCAAAGGATGCGACGATTAAACGAGTGGGCCTTTGACACTTTCCAACTTTCGCCAAAGAGTCCCAGCGAAACTTTTCTCCTCCCGCGGACCCTCCTCCTCCTCCCTCGATGTGCATTACGTTTCCAGGAAGACGCGCCGCGTACGAGTAGGAAGCTCGAGTTTTGGCCCCGAGACGAGAGACACCGGCGACGCGACGTTCTCCTGTTTCACCCCCAGCATCAACGCGACTAAGATAACGTCGCTATCTGACATGTCCTTTGTTCCGGTTCACTGTCCTCGTCGGACTCGCTCGCCCACGAGGGCTGACGCTCGTGTCATATTTCCCCGTCGCTATCGGCGACCCGGCCAGTTGGTCCCGACACCCCGTCGTCCAGCACTTCCGTCACCTTTCGGTCACAGAACCAACCGAGCTCTTAGAAAACGCTTCGTTCCCTTCCGGGACGAATCGTTTTAGCTATTTTACACGGGGAACGGGTCGAGCAGGACAAATGGACCGTCAGGAACTAGAATCGTGCCGTGGTGAGAGGCTCTCGGGGAAAATAAGCGAGGCTCGAGGATAAAAAGAAGCGTGTTAACCCATTTGTTACACAATTTTTCTACTCATCAACACGAACCAACGTTTTTTATTATTTAGTGGTTGCACTATTAGCTATCATTGCGATGATTAGACGAAACGTTGTATCAATTATTGTATGAAACGTTTGTAACGTGTATGACCAGCAGCGTGTAATGCGAATGGGTTAACTGAAACGTGATGGATATCTCGATTGACGTGAGCCGTTAAGCTTTTTGCACGTTTCAAGAGTCGGCAAACAATTATGATGGACACTTGACTGATCTCAGAATTGAAATCCGTTCGATTTAACTGAACTACTGAAAGGAATGGCATCAAAGGAACGAGGTCTGACAAGACACAATGTCAACATGCTCGTAGATCGATAACGACTAATGAGGCCAGTCGAGAAAGAAATCGTGGAAATGAACATTTTCTCAAAGCTCCTCGTAGATAAATTTCAGACTTTACGCATTTCTAAAAAATGCGAAGAGCGCATGCTGTTAAAATAAATGCTAACAAAATTAATTTATACCACATAACACTAACACCGAATCCGCAGTCTACTTTTAAATAAAAATCGTTCGCTGCACTTATTGTCAACAATTTAAAATAAGAAAAGACATCGGCAAGGAAAATATTTTCAATATCTCGGTGTTCGATAAAGCAGCGTCGAAAACTTTGGACCCGTAGGGTGAGAAGCGAATAAGTTTGCGGGGATGAAACGAGAGGGAAGTAAATACGTATGCAAACAGGGGGAGGAGGTTGAACTTATGACTGCGATGGATGCGACTTGTCTACCGAGCGAAGTGTCGGAACGAAATTCTTATAAGTAACAAAATATCACGTGTGTGTGTGTGTGCGTGAGGACTGGATGATGTAAAGTTAAAGTGGAAATTCCTGTAAGGATTTGTACAGGATATCGTTTCATGCTGTTTCAGCTTGTAAAAGCATTAAATTCTATATCATTCTTAGTAATACTTCGTCATGCATTAATTGATCGATGATTTTTATCACATGATAAATAATGATTGATTATTCTTTCGATTCGATTGAAATCCAATCTGATTATTAATATTCAATCGTTGCGACAACGAATGCGAAATTAATAGTTCGAGAATCGTTTGAGGTCAGAGGTTCTTACTTTGTCCACTTACCAGAACTTCCTCGAAGCGGTCATAATTCTCCGGCCTGGTGTTGAGGAGACTTTCGCCCACCGAATCCGTCGCGTTGCTCATGTGGCAGGAGCCGCGGTTCTCCAGAGCGCTTGACGTAATATGCAGCAGGGATAGCACTGCCAACAGTCCAGCTGCAAATATAAAAACAGGGGGAATAACGAGAGGGCATTTCTTTCATCTCTGCTTTTCGCGTTATTACTTAGCGCGAATCCCCGGCTCTCTCGCGGTCTCGTTTCAACAAGATGTTACAGCGTTAATAAGAACAGTTCGCAACTTGTTCTCTACTCCGGAAGATAAATTCTATTTACAAGTTGCCGCAGGAATTAATTAACTAGATTAATTCTAATGGAAAATGGGTCGACTCGTTTGATTAAATATTTTATGCAGTAATTTCTGAGCTCATTGCAATTAGTTTTTTCATGTTTCAATCTCCTACAGGAAATTATTGAAATGTTCTACGAAAAATAGGACAGACTTTTTTATCAAACATTTTCTACGATAATTACTAGGTTTAGCAAAAGATCTTTTAATATTATCGTCTGGGACAATTAAGCGACTGTCGCTAAGGGAAATTATTGAAACGTCTAGCGTGCCAAGTTACCAGCGACGTAGGACAACCAAAGACTGTGCGGTTTCCATGCCAAAATGCAGGATAGCGGTAGATAAAACAATGCCCTCCGCCAACCCCTTGTTATCGCCAGTACCGCCGACCAACAGCACGAACAAAGAGACTCGTCGTTTCTGAAACAAAATATCGCCTGTATACGTAAACGTGTGTATACGCTGTACAGAATTTTATCGGGACGTTTAGAGAGTGCGTCTTTTCAAATTAGATTTATAGACGCAATAAAGTTGCGTACAGTAATAAAGCGTTGACGTACACGCCGGGTTTTATCGGGGTAATATAATTCACCCCTGGAGCACTTTCGCTAGAGTTTCCCAAGATATTCAGTATAATTTCTAGTTGCATTTAATCCAGCACACGGGGATTTTAACGTGCACCTTTGTTTATCATTGTTATCTATCCGCGCGTCGATACAAGTCCGAAATCCATTGAATAATTGTATTTACAAAGTCATTAATTAATTACACATCGTAAACGTATATATCAAATCGTGAAAATTATTCGCGAAGTTTAGTTAAATTTATGATTCGGTTATCTCTGTGCGTCAGCTTTGTTTAGCACAATTTAATACGAATTACATACGTTCCAATTCGCAAAGCATTATTTCTGAAATAATGGGTCGCATAAAATGTGTAATATTATTGTGTTCAATATATTCTGGAGTTTCGTCTACAGAGCAAAATACACGTTGATGAATTTTAGTAATGTACATAATACGATTTCCGCAATCCCTCAATGAAATAATTTAACCCGGCCTTTAATATTTATCCGTAAATTAATGGAGAACCGGCGATTTAATTATGGTAATGAGCGTTCGATGACAGCGCATTGAATTCCTGCTAGTGGACTTACGTTCATGGATAATTAAACCCATTGATAATTTTACTAATTCCATCCGAATCTATTATAATGTAAAATACTTAGTAAATGTTGCCTCTCGATTTTTCTGACGCAAAATGTAACACGTGTATCAGATTAAAAAGACTTTCATTGATTATTCAGATATTGAAATATGCGTTCAGCTTTTGATATTCTGAATAATTTATGACGTCCGATTCAATGCAATGAATAAAATCCACAGTTTAATTATTGTAGTCGGATTTCGGATCAAAAATTTTATTTCGTATGAAGTAATTATATTACACGCGGCATTTGTAATTCTTGCGAATTTTATGCATAAAATCTGCAGTTTAATTGTAACAAGTAAAACTTTTAGACTTTGGATACAAATGTTTCTGTCATGTGAAATAAATATATACAGCATTTATAATTGCAGATTGGATGCATAAAATTTATAGTTTAATTAGGATAGTGAGAACGTTCAGAGTGTCACGGGCAGAACGAGAGTAAGAATTTTTCTGTCACGTGGAATAAAGCGTCTCTCACCTTCAGGTGTAATAAGAAACTGGTTTGAAGGGTTCGCTTTTGACATCGGCGACGGGTATAAACTCGGAAAACGAGTGGTGTCGAGCCGAGATAGATCGTCGGAAGTTCGTCCCAATAAAATCGGCCTCTCCCTTCGGAATTCCCCGGTATATTCTCTTTGGCCCTGATCTCCCCGCCCTTTCACAATCGAGACGACCTTTTCCATCGCCCTTGCATATTTTCCTACCCTCCTCGAGAGCAAACTCGCGAATGAACGAAATTGGGACAAACTCCAGCTCCGGTAATTACCAGACCGCTATTCAATCCGCCCGGACTTTATTTTTTATCAGACCATCTTCGGATTCCAGATAGTTTCCTCGGTTTCGACGACATTTTTTACGCTTATTGGAATCCCGACATTAGAAAATCAATAAGATGTCTCCCGGAGGCGAGCGCGTGGCTGGATGTAACAACGCGACTTGTCCAGATGGAATAATAGATGCCCGTCTCTTTTATTTTTAATGCAATCGCATTCTGAGAGACTAGCTCTTGAAAATGTAATTACAGCTTCGAATCGTATTTGTATATAATTATATCTGATCCAAATAAATATTTCACAAACGTCTTAGACTTCTTATTATCTTTTGTTATAAAGGAATGCTTATTCCAGGAAATATTTAAAATTCTGGACCTCTAATAATATCTCGCTCTGGTATTTCTGGTTGCATTAAGAATAGTAAAAAGGGAAAGGTTACGTTTTATTAAATATTCATACCTGACGCAGATTTGCACGAACAGGGTGATGGCCCAAGTGATCTCCAAGAAGAATATCAAACCAGAGGCTGCTCTGAAATAGAATCACAAGAAATTTCCATTTTAATACACATTCAGACGTAGTATTCGAACTGTTGCAATATTAATACCTAACACGTATCACCTACTTTTACTAAAATACCGGTACATTCGACAAGACTCGGAATAACGCGAACACCGATATCAATTATACGAAATTCGTTTCATTTTCTCGTGCTATTCATCCGGTAACGACTTCATTTGAATTTTATGATTAAATTTACAACGGAGATTTTCATCACCAAAATACAATTTATTTTTATCTTGCCGAACATTTGTCTTATTTCGAAACGAACGCAGCCCGTTTAATTAACGCGACACGAATTTATCTTCGAGCCATTCCCGATTGGAAAAAATTTCACCGGGGACTACCGAAACGTTTCCAATTCAGTTTTCTACTCGACGAAAATACGTGGGCATGAACGGTTACAACGTGGAATCGTTTAATCTTCCGGAGCGTGAAAAATCGGCGTTCGACGTGATATTTTCCACGCTAATTCCGCTTTATCGTCGTCTCTAACCCGTCTCTCGGAACGCCGGTTATTTTATCCGAATAAGTCGCCACGTGGAATTATTCCCGTCCCGCGAGCTTCCTCCTCGCCTCCATAAACGATATAAAACCATAGCGTCGCGTTTCGCCGCCGCGAATTCAACAACGAATTCAACAGTGAATTCCGAATTATTTCAAAACGCGAATGCATTCAACCACTGCACTTTTCTGTAAAATGATTTCCTGTTTCTCTAAAACAAAAATTCGAATGCACTTTGCAAGCTCACGTTAATATGGCTCGACATTAAAATCCGAGTTACGCGAATTAAATGATAAATGTTGCTGAATTTTCAATGCGATGTAATTTAAAAAATAATGTGTATTGAATTGTACAAAGAAGTGGTTATGATATACGTGTCATTAAATGAACGAAAGTTACGAACGATGGTGTACATGTATCGTGCGCGGTATTGAATGGATGATTATATGCCGACCTATACTACTGCGGGCCATTAATGGTATTACGGAACGCGCCTCCGCTTGAATTATACTTGTTTATTGTACAGTTTTAATACTTGATAACAGATTTAAATATTCATCAAATAAATATGATTGATATTTCAATTTTTCTTTTTAAATTTACAAAATGATGAACTTGGGCTCGACACTCATACTATTATTTCGTTGGTTTAAACTTGATACGCTTTTTTTGTAAATAGTTTGTTCGATTTGATTTACGAGATATTTTCCAGAAGTGTATACATTATGGAGAATCAAATATTCCATCAATTTATTTAAAAGCTCAGGAAAATATGATGTCGCGAGTAGATAGAATGATGTAACGTTTGAATCTTATTAAATCTGACGCCAAGGGAGGAAACAGTTTACAATTTATTTTACGGTCATAATTCTATCCCCGGACCGTGTGACCGGACATCATTTTTCCTTCGAAACTGACATCATCGTGCGGCTAGAATCGTATACTAATAAAGTCAGGCTTCATGGCAGTGTTGGTAGTATCGCACGGTGAACGCAGCAGCCCGAAACGCGATTTATCGCTCACCACTGCATTAATCACGCTAATCGATCTTCGCCCATAAATTTTGTACTTGTTTCATCCTGGCTTCGTGCTGCGATCAAAGGTGAAAGAATGACCCATCCATTATAGACAATATTGACCCGATCGTTTGATCAATTCAATTTACTCGTGGCATTTTATATATCAAATTACGTGGTAAATCAAGTTTGAAATTTTCTCATATTCGTCTCGCCTCATCAAGAATCAATAATAATATTATTATACAATAGAATAATACTAATCAATTTTGAAAATTGAATGCCAGCCCGATCGCAAAGTAATTATATTAAAAATGAGAGATCGATCGGAAAACTCCAATAAAACTGAATAAAAAGTTTTCATCGAATTGAATTGAATTTTTTAATAAATAGAATTGTTTACTTTGTATGTTTGCATGAAATCCTAGTGTGAAATATCCGTCGGTCTGTTGTACGACGCAAAGACTTTGAATCGAGGGGATGAAGTTTTCTATCAATTTTTAATGAAACGCGCGTGCCACTGTTAGTTAATCCGCAAGTTGCCGGGCTCGATCATATTTCATGGCGCGCGGCATGCATGCGAAACGCGCATTTCCATAGAGACCACCGCGGCACCGGCATGGCAGCGAACGCCGGAACGCAATCTGCAACGACGTGGCCGAGGTTCTACGAATTTGCAATTTGCAGAACGCACCAGCAACGGTAAGTACGCTTCAGTAATTCCGTATTGACTCGTCCCCTCTCCGTCCCTAGTAGCCCGCTGTTGTCACATACGTATACATATTTAGTAATAAGTTAATACAATTCGTCCGATAAACCGATAACGAAGTTTGCTCGTTTAAACGGCGACTCGATTATACTCCCGCATCCCCAAAATTGATTATTTATTGTTTAAAACCGTTCCCCGTTTGCTCTGCCGCGGAACATCAGATTAAACCTGCACCTACATCGTAAACCACTTCCAGTTGATTGACAGAAAAATCACGCGGTCGTTGATACACAACATGAATCAATAAGAATTATTATTTCGTTACGAGAAGCTTTATAAGAATTTTTTACTCGATCAACGAATCTCAACAAATTATAATTCGTTTCATTCATTAAATATTCATTATAGATTCTTATGTATTCATAAAGTAAGGGATGAATGCACATGAGCAGCGATATTTTCGTAGCAAACGTTCGTACTCTTATCTAATATGTAAGGTACACGAGGGTATCCAGGAAGTAATCCAATAACGTTGAAAATGTAAAACATTTTTCTCAATTTCTTCGTCTCCCGCTCTCTCTTTCTCTCTCTCTCCCGATACCTAGCGAGCGACACATTTTCCCGGTAAGAATAATGCCACGAGAAACGGTAAACTACGGTCCGGGCCATTTTTCTCCAGGAAATAAGTTCCCGGACGAACGATTCGCGCACGCATTTTTCCTCGCTTCTCTTCGATCGATCGACAGAAAAAAAAAGAGAGAAATAGGATCAAACGGGATATCGAGAAATTTTCGGTAATCGTTCAGCCGCCGACAAATAGTAAACTCGTTGCGGCGGTTTCCGCTCCCCGGTAGCTTCCGGCCGCCCACGCTAATCGCATCGGGCCGTGGAATTAAATTCCTTGCGATCGAATTCGATTCGCCAGTTTTTAAGAAAAATACGATACTTCTGGCTTGGATTCGTATTTCGTTTATAAAAGAATTTACGATCAAACCTGTCGCCAAATCTGATTAGGCTTTCTGTATTTATTGTTAGAACTTTCTTAGTTTCGTTTTAATTGGATTTTCAATGATTAAACGAACGATTCTCTGTACTTTGGTGACGAAAACGTGTAAGTGATAATGATAGAACAAACTGTTTCGGTACTCGGCCCCGGAATCTGATAATTTGAGTGGAATTACGGTATACGCATGTTGAATTATCCTCACGTAACGTAAAACCCAATGACGTGTCCGTGATACGCCACATCCGCGCCAACGCCGCACACAACTGAAACAGAAAGAAAGAAGGGCTAGAAAAATCCTGCAACAATTCATTTCCTATTCTAATTGGAGAATCGACGATGCATTTATCAAGCTCTTTTCTTTGCCCGTGGCAGCGTGCGATTTATGGAAATGCAAAACGCCGCGGGTGCCAGATAATAAAACAAGCCGATGTGAGAAAAACGAGATTTATCATCCACCGTTTCCCCCGAGGAATTAATTATTGATTATACGCGTTAATAACGAATATTTATAATACATCGAGATGCGAAATTCATAAAACTTTGTAATCATACTGAAATTCATTTAACATTCTCCTGTCTTTATGTAATTTCGCTGATTTTCCAATTGCAATGTGCACAGTGTTTGTATTCTAAGCATGGTTAAAGCAGCTTTTCAGATGTAGATTCGAATAAAGCAACTGATGGGGGATGACAAAGGGAAATGTACGCTGCAACGTATATTGTGTACTTTCAAAATGTAGGAAATCGCTCAAGTCATTCAGAGAATCATGAAACGGTATCTCGCACATGGAAATTGCTTGTTTGAAACTGAAATGAATATTACCCGTTCACTGGAACAACTTTTAACTACGAAAATTATTACAGATGCACAACTCAGGTCAGTTCTTGTCGTACATTTATAATGACAATGAATATCATCGAAACATGCGTATCTGACGAATTTTCACCAGGCTTTATCATACTGGATAATTTTAATCCTTCTATCGCATGCGTATCGAAACTTGAAAAATCAATTATTAACAGAAACTTATGATCAAGCTTGTGTACTTTAAAATTCACTTGAAACTTTCGAAACACCCAAAACGACGATGTACCAGCAAAAACATTTACCTCGCAGCGCGTTACATAATGCATTTTCTATCCAGCCAGCATGTAACATGGTTACTGTACACGAAAATCTTTTAAACATTAACGAGATGAACGAAAAGTAAAACTGTCTTCAAAGTTGAAAATCGAAGAGAAACTGGTAATCCTTTGTAGGAAAGTTTCTGCGACTGATAAAATCCTCTCGACTGTTGATTGCATAAAAAGGCAGTAGTCGCACAATGGTAGCAAAGCGGGACACGCGAGTAAACGGTTTAACGGATGGATTTTATGAGCTCGCGTTACGTTTTTGGTAAATCTCGGTTATCCAGCGTCGTCGCGACGCTGCCGGAGAACGTTAAACCGGAAACGGAGGACGAGGCTCGCGCGTTTGCTTGTTTAGTTGGTTAATAGCGCTAGAGTATATGAAGATGCTCCATTAATCTTGCTGGATCTTCTGGTTTATTGCGTGTTTCGCTGGCTGCACGAATTATTGTGCCCCACCGTACGAAACTAGTTTTACCGGAAGTGGATGAGAACACGGGATAATTTAGCGAAATTGTGAACAATGTAATGGTTTTTATGCTTCCAGAGATCTATTAAGGGAATGAGAACGCGATCCAATTATTATGTTAAAACATTTTCCTAGTATTTCTTGTGAAACGAGATTAACTTTTATATTTTATAAAATTGATACGCAACGCGTTGAACGATCGAAGGTTTCAGTTCTGCTCGAATTCACGTTTTATGTAGTTAATTGTAGTACAGGCTTTAATTAATTGAATAGGACTAAGTTCGTTTCGAACTGTGAATGCTGTATAATAATACAGTAGCCTGAAATACGGTTTAACAGGCATTGTGAAGGCTCTGCTAATGAAGTTTGCTTCTACTTAATTATTCTCGAAGTCATTCTAAGCTAACAGTCACGTATTCGGTTACTTTGTGCATTTAATAATAGAACAGCAATCTGTCGACGAAAACTTGGGTTGAAAATGAAACGTTGTTCAAACTGCGAACGCGTATTTAAGAAGAAAAGTAAATCGAATTTTTGTCGAACGAAACCCGTTTTTTTATTCTACGAAATATTGCAATATCAATCTCCTGATATTTTTTTAAGCCATTCGCACCGATCCGTAAATGTTTGCGCTGTTCTCCAGTTCTTTAGCATACTTCAAACTCTGTAACGTGTACAAACATAGATGTGTTTATAGATTATTTCTATCAAATATTTTTACCCTGGAAAATAGGTTTCGTTGTTGAATGACAATTATTCAAATTATTATGACGAGCGATATGTCGTGTAATTTACAATTTTTCATGTCTCGCTGATATCCTGTGGAAACAATGCGGTACGAGAAGTATTTCCGTCACATCTCCAGGGCGGGAATGAAATTGCGAAAGACGGCGCGAAGCTAATTTAGAAGTTCAATACAGGGACCGAGGAAGAGGTTTCGAAAGTTTTATTAAGTTTCACGACGAGGAGTTTAACTTATACACCCTGGGGATGAACGTATGTAAATAAAATTGCAATCATCAGCCCGCTACGATTCAACACTTGCACAATCTGTCAATGGATGCAATACATATTTTTCTATACCAAGTCTAATACTGACTAAACTATAAAATTTTATGCTTAGGAAAAGGCTGGCACAATGCTTATGTAAAAGTGCTTTGTATATTGTATTTTTCCTTACCAACTCTCATTCTAATCGCTCTTAAGGACGTATAGGCTATACATATACTTAAACAATGCTGGCATGTTGAATTTGTTATTATATATTCTTATTACTATTAAAAAGCTAAAATTATAGTGATTTCAAATTT